GTAAGAGTGAACGATACCACTAGTGTATTTTTTTCTGGGATGCATGGTTTGAAGCATTACATTTCTGTAAATGACAATTCATTGCTTATTAATTTATGGCACACTCTATTCAAATTGAACTATTGCGTACCCCAGGATGAAAACTCAATATTGCATAACTTTTTTAAATTATTCATCAAAAAATATCATTATCTGTCTATTGGAACAGATAACTAGCAGTTAATGATGATCAACTAAGGCCATCATCCAATTGTGTGTTTTAGCAAGAAAATCCAAATGTTGCCGACTGTATGATGAAAGCCTTGATTTTCAGCCATGTTTCCTTCACAAGACTACTGAGTTTTTTATGTGAACAATTCAATTTTACCGAAAGCGAACATCAACCCTCACCACATACCCGGAAATATTCTTCCGAAACCCTTCACTCCACTTCACTCATCACCAATTTCCATCTGAAGAATCCACTTGTCCGTATTGCTCCTCGAGAATTACTTCGCCAATTTCACCCTCACAATAAGAACTCTGAATAATATTACCGATGACTCTTTCTTTGTTTCAGCTAAGTATAGTGCGAATGAGATCGACAACGGAGTGGGAACCGGGATTTCGAGACTGCAATTGACCCTTACGAGAGGCGATTTGCTGGCCAGATTTGAATGTAGGGTGGAAAGCGATGCTTTAGACGAACCGATTATTTCCTGGGTCCGAATTGACGTCAACGGTAAGTCATAATAAAGATATAACTTCATTCTCCAATAAAAGACGATATTATATAGAACTAGTCAATCAGCTAGCATGAAAATATAACATTCATTCATTGTGTGACCTATTCATAATGGAAGTCTGTTCATAAAACATTTAATTTTCATCCGACTTGAATTAGTATTTTTTCATCACGTAAACATTCGAGAAGTTTAGTAAAACACCAAATATCATGAGTAAGTCTTCGTCTCGAACGGGGTAACTGAAAATCCTAGCTGGGTTATTTATTGTATGGTTGTATGAGAAGGTTGCTTCGCCCATATTGCAGTCATCTTGAAGAGTTGATTGGATAAACATCACCCTAGTCATTGGATTGGACGGGGTAGCCTCCTAGATCGCTTGACTTAACTCCACCTAGATTTTTTTCGTGACTTTATTAAACAAACTGTCTAAAAACCATGACCAAAATGTCTGTGCACAATAATTCACGAATTGTGCTGCATTTATAATTGATGAATGATTTTTTAATGTTCTCAAGCGATATATTTATGGAGACCATAAATTCTATTGAAACATCATTATGCGATGACCAAAACGAGTCATCTCCTCGTAACAGAAGGCCATAGAAGAATAAATTGCGTTTCATTAATGTATTCTCCATTTATATTATTTGCAATGAAAATGAGAGATTTATTTTTTCTAGTGTCAAAATCATTTCAACTACATTTTGGTGGATATAATTTGGAATCCTTTCGTATAGTCAGAATGTTGTTGATTTTCCATCATAGGACTTTTTTTCAAATTTTCTCTACACAACATTCCTAATGATGAACAAATTTTGATGAAATTTTGGATGGTATAAATCCAAGTGGAAGAATGGGTAACCCTTGGTTACCAGCAGGAGCCAGTCGCATATTTGTGGTTTCAGTTAATAGATTTTGTATTTACAAGAAAACTATGAAAATCACCAAGGAGGCAGCTTTAGCTACCTGCGTGATATCCATGTCCAGGAAATAATACAAATATGAAAGTTATTGAGTGTCTTGATATAGATACAGAAATTAATAATCGGACTTAACACTCAAGAATAGTGTTGAACCATAGACACGTGTTTCGGGCTTTTGGCCCATCATCAGTATGGTGCAGCCAAGTGTGAGGATGGGCAACATTTGGTTACTAAAAGAAAGAAATACAAATGCACGGAGCCACCAGCAGGAGCCAGCCGCACATTTGTGTCTATGGTTTGTGATGAGTGCTAAATCCGATTATTAATTTTTGTATTTGTCTGTCTGTTTTGAAATCTATTTTTCCGTTAACTAGCTGTCGCACCCCTACGAACGACAACCCTCAGAAGTTGAAACTTGTGCGAGCTAAGAATTAATGAGGTCTTAATTTTTAACGTGTGATTCCTAACACGGGTTGGACGATAGCAAGTGAAAATCGATCGTTCAGACTAGGGCTTGAACCACCGACCAACACGGCAGTCAATTCGAGTAAGTGAACAAAGCACCTACGTCGAACCGCCTGGCTACCGATCTATATCAAGACACTCAATAACTTTCATATTCCATTATATCATGATATAAAAATCCCAGCTTGATTTCATCTCCTTTCCATAAAAAATGCTTGTAATACAACATCGGTTTGCACGACACCCTATCGCATATTTTTTAAACGGTTTTTGTTATCACCAACCAGTATAAACGACCAATATCATAAAAGTTTGTGTGAAGGAAGCACCACCCGACGGACTAGAGAAAGTTTATGGCATCTATTCGATGATATAGCTTTTTGTAGCAGTAAAAATATTTTCTGCGCGATAATAAGGACGCTTAGTTGCATTATCGATTAGGTTTAGTAT